ACCTGTAACTCCAAGCAAGTCACTTAACCTACAATGAGGAAACTAATCATATTTACCTCAGGGTTATTGAGAAGATTAAATTTTAAAATGCTTTTAAAGTGCTTAGCAGAGTATCTGTCAGAGAGTAAGCATTCAGTAAGTTTTATTTACATGTGTAACACTTAAGTTGGGAGAGATAGATGAACTACCAGAAAAGGGAAAGAGTTGAAGATAATGAGGTGGGCCCCCTCCAAAAGAAGGCAGATAGGAGAAAGCCCCACATTTATTTCATAGTTTTGTTGAGAGCCCCGCTGTGGCAGCTCCCACTTCCTAGCTCAAATGTTGTTTGCTTTGAGGCATTTATTTAATACCTAAGATGAACTTAGTTCTGTTGTGACTATCTTGTTCCTAGGGTTTAAATATCAAGCATAGTGATTGAAACATTGACAGACTTTTTGTGGTTTCTCTGACCAGATTACTTCCCTTCTATGCCCACCTGGAAGTTGTACGTTTTGGACAGTTGCCACATTGATGTTTTTTTTTTTTTTTCCCCAAAGCAATTAATCCTGATGGTTGTTAGTGTTAAATAGCTCAAATAAGTGTGTGTGTGTGTGTGTGTGTGTGTGTGTGTGAGAGAGAGAGAGAGAGAGAGAGAGAGAGAGAGAGAGAGAGAGAGAGAGAGAGAGAGAGAAAGGCAGAAAGACAGAGAGCTATCTGGTAGTGATCAGCTGTTGAGTGCTCCCATCTGCATAGGTGAGTCTGCAAATACAGAGAGCATTGGATCAGAAGGTGGCCAGCTGCTAGAGGAAGGGCAGCCCTGGATCCACTCTGTAGACCCACCCGTCACTTCCATTTGTTCTCTATTTAGGAAAACCATGGCAAAAACTCTTCTAGGATTTTGTAGACTTCAGTCATGGATGCATCTAGTTTGAATTTAATAAATATTAAGGGAGTGATGTTTAAAATGAAGTAAAGTCAGGAAATTTTCTGTCCACTCCTAAGTACTCTTATTCCCAGAGATGGCAAGACCAAGCATAAAGTTAGTTTCACACACTTGAGAAGAAACGTTCCATTCCAGATTCAAGTAGAGTTTTTCCACTTTTGGAAGTGTTGCTGAGACTGTAATTATAAACTACAATCATTCTAGGATTAATTTAAAACAGTACCTGGGATGAATTAAGATCTTGCAATAAAAACACCATATACAGTCTGTCACATTATCTGTGGCAGCTCTTCCCAGTGCCACCTTGGTTAATGAGTTTATTGCTAAAGGAGTGTTTAGCAGTGGTACTGTGGATTCAGCACTTTATAGTATTAGCACTTTATAGTATTAGACTAGTGCTCAAGATCCTGGTACTTGATCAATATATGGGATTTTCTGTACAGTGATATGGAAGGCGTGATGTGCAGAATTTCACCTTTGTTTATTCTCACCACCTCTCCTCCTCAGTTTTCTTCTTATGGAAAATGGAAATCCCACAGGAAAGTCTAATCTAGTCTTCATTCCCTGACTTGTGGCCTTGCCCTCACTCTCCATTTCCTTTCCCTCTCCTCTCTGCATTCTTTGACTGGAACCTCCAGGACAGCTTTGTGTTACACTGGAGAGCCTTAAAGGTTTTGTCCAGTCCCAAGAGTCTGTGTTGCCACATCAGTGAGCTCTTTTGTAGCCACTCAAATGTGAAAGAAGAGTTGAGCATTCAGTATTTAGAGTAAAGGGCTCCTCCTAGGCTGGTTGTAGAGAGAACAAGCAGCAGTGCTTGCCATGACTATAGCTTACACGCCTGACCCCAGGGGTGTGTGGACACTGGGGAAGGGTTGGCCTGTGGCACATATAATTTTTACAGTTTGAATTACTGAAATGGGTAAGCTCTCCAGCTCACCACAGATCCCACCACTTCTTGTTTGTTGTTTTGTAAGTGGCCTTTCGAATTTATTTCTGTTGCCTGTGTCAACCCCTGAAAATGTTTTTGTTTGTGACCTTTGATTTAGCTAATTCATGGACATTTAGGTAGCCTTCAGTTTTTTTATGTTACTAAACATTTTTTTAATGAACATCTTTGCATGATATGTTTTTAGAATTACCTCCTGCAAGTATGATTATTGGGTCAAACTGTATTTGAAATTGTGTTACATATTTTCATATTTCCCTATGGATTTTGATATGTGAATTGTCAATTTGTGTTATTTATCTAATTTTGAGTGGAAGTCTTATTTTCCTTATTGATTTTAGAGAATTCTTTATATATCAAGTAAGATTATGAATCTTTTAACATAGGTAAAAGATATTTTCCCAATTTTTAAATGTTTTGTATATGGTTTCTGACTTGACATTTTAGATTTTTATATATTTTGCTTTATTAGCTTTTCATTTTGGTTTCTAGAATTTTATGTCATATTTAGAAACATTTTTCACATTCTAAGATTACAAAAACATTAACCCCTACTTTGTTTTAGAATGTCTATTTTTTTCTTTCTCAATATTTAATCCATCTGGAATTTGTCTTGGTGTATGGAGTGAGGTAGTAATCCAGCTTTATATTTTTCTAAATAGCGAATTATTTTTCCTAACATCCAAGGTTTTTAAAAATACATGGTTAATTTGGAATTACCAAATCTTATTAGCTCCTAGTATCTAAAAGTGGCTTGTTTTTACAGATAGAAAGTTTTCACTTTAAACTCTGAGTTTCAATATTTTTCTGCTTTTAAAACCTCTAGAAAGGAACTGTGAACAGAACACCATATTGGTTTTGGCATTAGCTTTAATGCCTTTCAAATAGGCTGATTCTACAGAATTCGATCCAAAGTACTTCTATGTCTTGATGTCTTTTTGCCAAACAAAATTGATTATTTCTAACCCAAAGGCCTTCAGTGCTGGACTGAAAAAAAAGTAAGAGGGACCTCCTAGGCTGGTTGCAGATCATATAATTTAACATCAAGTATAATGCTTTTTTTTCTCTAAAGTTTCTTTCTCTTCTCTAGTTTCCAGTGGTCCATGCCTCTTGTTACTGGGGGATTTGTGTGTGGGTGGGGGGAGATTCAGATCCTTTCTGTCCAGGTCCTCATAATTATATCTTTAAATGCTTTTCTTTTTTCTTGGCAGGTCAGTAAATGGATATCAGGGGCCTTTCCTTGATAATTATTGCTAGCTTTCTCTTGCATAGTGGAATTTAGTGGGGGATTGAATTTTGCTGTGCTGGTATATTTTCAACATCAGTGATGTGTTACTTTATCACATAGATTCTCTTTATAGCTTCATTAGAGGTGCTCTTAGTTCCTCTAGTTTGAAAATTTATCTGAGCATCTGAGTACTTTGGCAGATTTCTCTTTTGTAGTCACACCCACCCAAATTATTATAGTACATTTTAAAGAAGATTTTATCATTGATGCTTGACTGAGTGTGTCAAGCTTGTGGGCAGGGAGACAAAAATCTGCCATTATGGTTGAAAGGCAGTATACACAATGAGTGAAACCGCTGGAGTCATGCTGTTAGGGATCATAGCCCATCTTCTCCACCTGTTATGTCATCTGCTAACCCTTGATTTCCTTATCTGTCAAACATGGTTAAAACCATACTTATCTCATAGGGGTGTTGTGAATATCAAATGAGATACAAGCTGAGCATCTCAAGTTTAAAAATCTGAAATTTGAACCACTTCTGGTTCCAAGTATTTTGTATAAGTGATACTCAACTTATAATGCATATAAACCACTTAGGACAGTCCCTGGCCTGCACTAAACCTAAATATGTTTTTTTCTCCCTTCCTTTTTATTTTTTTATTTTTTTGAGTTGGAGTCTCACTCTGTTGCCCCAGACTGGAGTGTGGTGGCCACTCCCGGCCACCACAGCCTCTACCTGCTGGGCTCCGGCGATCCTTCCGCCTCAGCCTTCCGAGTAACCAGAATTACAGGCATGCGCTACCACGGCCGGCTGATTTTTTGATTTATTGTAGAGATGAGGTCTCGCTGCCCAGGTGGATCTCGAACCCACGGGCTCAGGTAATCCACTCGCCTCAGCCTCCCAAAGGCGTGGGATTATAGGCTGAGCCACCGAACCCGGCCTCTCCCTTCCTTTTTAGTGTTGGTTTGCTCTTCTAGGATATTACAATGCTTTTTTCCCCCTCCTAGTTGTAAAAGAATATATATCCATTGTAGAACATTTAGAGATTTAAGAAAAGCTTAAAGAAATGTCTACTACAATTCTCTCACTCCTCAGCAATAATCATAACTTACATTTTAACTTATTTATTTCTTTTTGTACGTATATTATTTTATATAGCTGAGATCATTCTGAATGTATAATATATCTTGATCTTTTCACTTAACATGTCTTAAACATTTTCTTATATTATTAAAAACATTTATAAAATCGTTTTTGATAGTTACATAATAGTTCATCACATTATTTTGATTGATTTAACCTTTCTCATTTTATTTGGTATTTAGTATTTGGGGCTTTTTTGGTTGGAGTTGGGTTGCTTTTAGATATTTCTAACTTATTAAGCCAGGCTTTTTTCTTGTCAACAAGAGGTTTATGGGTTGAGGCTTCATGTTTGCTTTTGTTGTTTTCTTTTTTTTTTTTTAATTGGCCTGTTGAGTGTGTGAATTAAGCCGAGATTTAACCATCAGACCCTGTGCTCTCAGACTCTTGCCACTACCTTTCTGGACAATCTACATGCTTGTTTGCCTTTTAACCTTTTTCTGCTGAGTTCCTTTTCATACTCTTGTGTTGGAAGAAAGATAAATGGAGACTATGATTAGTATTTAGGTCTCTGACCCAGCCGTACCATGTGAATGCCCAGGAGCTAGCCAGGATAAACACCAGTTGCATGTTAATGGATTTTTACTGAGGTAATCATACCGTGCAGTTTCTGGTGAGAAGACTATCCTAAATTGTTCTTGACAGGGTGCACTATTTTTGTTTTAACTTCTTATTTTTCCTGTAAAGCTGGGTTTGAAGTATGTTGAGACTGAATTCATTTGTGCTTTGGAATATAATGAAATCTTGTACTCTTTCCTTTCAGAAAACTAAGCCAAGAACAGCAGTCTGAAAAAGACATATGTATCCAAAATTGCCAGGGAAACCTGCTGTGCAGATATGCTTTCTGAGAAACCACATGGCAAATGAATGTCGTCTTTGTCTCAGAGCCGCAGTCGCCTGGTTCTGCTGGTGAATCGTGCTGGCAGACTTGAGCTTGGTTTTTAACTCAGTTACTAAAATGGCACTGGGAGCAAAACTTAAATGCTTGTGGTTTGTAACACCAGGAGGTTGCTTAAAATGGTGTCACCCTATGTGAGCTTGACACTATTTTTCATTTCCTTTGTTTGGTTCTGAGGCTGCTTAATCCATGACTGCTTGGCAGCTGCCTTCTTTAAAGCGTCACTCCTATGTCTAGTTATTCTCTAATGTTAAAATATAGAATGATTTTAATCTCAGCTACATAGTGAGCCACAGAGCTGAGTCCGGACTGGCTCAGAAATGGATCCTGAGAACTGCAAATAAGTATCTCGGCATCTTTGGCCTTAGCAAGGGCTGTCTTGAGATCATTTCCATGTGGCATCACTAAAAGCACAGGTGACAAATAGGCAAGTCTTGAATTCCTAGAAGCCAATGTCTTTCTCAATCAGCTATTCCAATGCTATGTCAGCCAGGTGATGATAAACTTTCAGAATTGAAAGAAGTCTTAAATGGCAGGTGTCCCAGCTCCTGCTGCATCTTCAGCAAGAGGCATCATATCACATTTTCTTGACCATTTCTGGTCATTTCCAAGAAGAAAGGAGAATTCTACAGGTTGGAGGTAGTCCATATCACTGATTAAAAGCTCTGTCTGAAGATAGTAGTTTTTTACTTCAGCCAAAACTTTCCTCCAAGGAACTTCTACCCATGAAATTTTGACTGCTTCTTATAGAAACTTTATAAAAGGTTAGTTGGGATCATCTGGATTTTCCATTTTGTAGGTTGAGAAAGCTACTGTCTCTTATCCCTAACTACTTAGTATTCTAGTAACTTGGCTTGAGTAAAACTTACCAGCTTTATGCTAGTTCATTTTACTGAGGCAAGCAGCTAAATTGTGGGTTTTCTGTATTCTATCACTGCTAGCATATGGGCTTTATTGGAGTCTGTGCTTCATTCTATGTAACTGAGATAATGATATGAAGTGCTAACCAATAGTAGATGTTGGGCTATGTTTCATTAAAAGTGTAGACATTAAAAGATCAGACAGATCCAGATTCAGTTTTGATTTCTGCCACTTGCTGGCTTTGTGACCTCAAATGGATTATTTAATTCTTGAAGCCTCAAATTCTCCATCAGTAGAATTGGTTTAATAATTATAGCTATAAGGTTTAGTGAAGATTGAATGGGATTAGTGCATGTGAAGTACTTAATGTGTGACTGATAATAATGAATGGTAAAAAATTCTGACTTTTATTATTGCTATTGTTATTATTGCTATATTCACTACACAACAAGGTCCTTGAATCCTGCATTCTCACCAAGGCAACATGGACTTGCCCATCTATCCTTCTCCTTGTTATTTCTCCTGTCAGTGGGACTACCCTTGATGTTCATTTTAACCTGATGTACTGAGACTAGCAGTGTCAGCATCATAAGAAAGGGCAGAGATGGGTGTCCACACAATGTCTCTGGTTTCTGAGGTCTTCACTTGTCTCACAGGAGGAAGTCTTGGGAGTTACTCAGTATTCTGCCATGTTGCCAGAGCTGGAATTGGGTGTTAATTTTTTTCTATTTTTCTGCTTATAGGAAAAACACCTCTGTTCAATAATATCATAGTTGTCTCTATTTTCAGAAATTATTTTATCCTCTGTATCATTTGATTATTCATTTTTAATAGTGTAGCTTATTCCACTTTGTCCTTGTGGTCTAAATTTCTTAGTCCTTTGTTTTATTTGGTTTCATTCCATATTAATCTAGGTTTTTCCCTCCTCCAAGAAATCTTGATTTCATCTAGGTTTTTTAATTGTTGGCATCAAATTTTGGCTTTTAAAATGTGTAATATTTGTAGTTATAACTTACTTTTCATTCCTATTATTTGTTTCTTCTTCTTTTTTGATCAACCATATCAGAAGTTTGTTTATTTTTTAAAAAGCCAGAACCAGCTTTTGATTTTGATGATCTTGACTGTTGAGCATTCACTTTTGAATTTATTAATTTATTTTCTTACCTTTTATCTTTTTTTTCTTTCTACTCTCCATAGACTTATTTTGGATTATTTTTTTCTTCACTTGAACAATTCGGCTTGTTTTCAGTTATTCTTCTTTTCTAATACATGCATTTAAGGCTATAAAATTCCCTTTAAATATTACTTTAACTATCTTCCACCATTTTTATGTAATTTTTTGTGAGGTTAGTGTATTGAGGATTAATTTACAGATGATAAAATTTTCTCCTTTCAAGTATACAGTTTGATGAGTTTTGACAGATACATATAGTTGCATAAATCCACCACAATCAAGCTATAGAATATTCTGTTACCCTAAAAAGGTCCCTTATGCCTGTTTTTTTTTTTTTAATCCCTATAGTTTTGTCTTTTCTAAGATGTCAGATGAATGGAATCATATATTTATCCTTTTGTGTTTGACTTCTTTCACTTCTTTCACTTAGCATACTGTTGAGATTTATCCATGTTGCTGCATATTTCTGGAGTTTGTTTGTTTTTATTGCTAAGTAGTTTCCATTGTGTGGATATATCAGAATTTGTTTGTTCACCACTAATTTTCATTGGGAGAGAATGAGGGCTTTTAATTCTGCACTTGGTCTATAAATATATACATTCCAGTCTATTCTGGACTTAAAAGCATCTTGGTAGTTTTCAAATGTAAATATTTATTTGGGTTTTGGTGTTTTGGGAGTTTTTCCATTAGTGGGCAGACACGTGTTTGTATGTATTCATTTGTATCCTTCCTCCCTGTAGCAGTCTGGGTCCAATAAGGAGGTAGAAACCACACAGTAGATTAAACAGGGGAAGCGTAATATAAAGAAGTGTTACCTATGATAAAAGAGTAACTATATATACGAGGAAACTATATATAATCGCCTAGGGCTGAGGGAATATACCCAATGAAGGACAAACTGCCAAGAGTTCAGACCTTACTAGAGAAGGTATAGTTCAGCCCATGGAATAGCAGAGGAGATTGCTGGTATGGCTGGTATGGCTAGACTGGAGCTTGTCCAAAGTCTCTGAGCAAGCCTTAGCCTACCGTCTGCAGTGCAGGCAAGGAAAAGGCCACTTATTCAGTAACATGGACATGCAATGAGGTTTTGGTCACTGGCCAGGGCAGGTGGCCTTCAGAGCATGCGAGTCATGTGGAGGCTTTGGTGTCCTTGTTGACAGAGCTTCCAAAAGATTAGGGTAGGCCAATACTATGAAGCCATAGAAACCACATTTGACCACACTCCTGACTGTCCTCACACCCAAATTGCCAACCGTGAGCTGAACACACAGGACAGCCTCTTCCACCTAGCACTCTACTCAGAAAACTTCACATCACACTCTTCAGGGGGAAAGTGCTTATCACAGTGTATATGAAAGGGTGCATTCAAAGTTTAGAGGTAGAGAGTTCATAACTGATACTACTTTTCCTGTTCTTTTAAAAATGAATGCTATCAAGTCAGAAGCAATAATAATTATATAATAGATCCTTGAATGAGAGGAAAAGAATGTATAAAAATAGGCAAAAGATTATAAAAACTAGACCTTACAGAGTTTCATGTAGCAAGAAATATGTTTATAGACACATATAATTATATCTTCACATGGGACCTGTCTGTGTTATCTACAGATCATGGTATTGTCATCAGTCTCCAGTTCCGATCATTGGAATCATATATTCCAAGTTGTAAATCAGACCCCATTCTTTCTTCAAGATGTCTTCATTGTAGAAAACATTTAGGATACACATTTTATTTTATTTTTTGTTTACAAAAAAATTTTTAAATTATTTATTTATTAATTTTGAGTTGGAGTCTCAGTCTGTCGCCACAGCTACCGCAGCCTTGACCTACTGGGCTCAGGCGATCCTTCCACCTCAACCTTCCAAGTAGCTGGAACTACAGGTGCATACCACCACACCCGGCTAATTTTTTGGTTTATTGTAGAGACGAGGTCTTGCCAATTTGCCCAGGCTGATCTCCAACCCCTGGTCTTAGGCAGTCCTCTTGCAACTGCCTCCCAAAGTGCTAGGATTGCAGGCATGATCCCAGCCTAGGATCCACATTTTATAAAATGTTTTGATATAAGAGAAGCTAAGTGAATTTAGGTTGTGGATCTCTGACCCTTCATTATGTTAAGAGTACCCAGTAGTAGGACTTACAGAGTTTTATGTACTTTTCAGAAACAGTATATTTACTTGCAAGTTTTCTCATTTTAAGAAAACCCAAATTATAAAAATTGAGACCTGCAAAGTAACTTCCTCAGGGGGTTTTTATTTTCATTCCTGAGTAGTTTTCTGTAAACATTTTCTTCTTTAGCGTGTTGAAAATAGGATCCTTTTTAGTTTGAAGATACCTTTTAAGTCTGCATCTATTAAATAAAGTTAGATCAATTTGCATTTTAGTTTCAGATTTTGCTTGGGAGTCTTTGGGCTTCTTTTATTTGGCAGGAAGAGAGAGGAGAAGCCCGGCCTTTTTGCTGTCTTGGAAATTTCCAGCCCAAGAAAGTGTATAAAGGCATAGCTTGCAGGGATTCTTATGTGATTAGCTAGCTCTTTTCCTGAATTATTAAGCTACATTAAAACAGCAGCTTGGTGCAGTTGGTGTTTTAGGTTTTCATATCTTCTGAAAGATTAATATCCCTACAAGAGTGAGGTTACTTTTGATGTCTGCCGTTAATGCTTTTAAACATCAAGAGCGTTGCATTCTGCTCTATTCTTGTATTCTACCTTCTGTAGGCAGTCACAGTTATTCTGGGAGGTTTAATTGGTGTTTACTCACTTCCTGAAAGTTTTCCTTTCACAGATTGGTATTCTTAAATGTGAAGTTTTTGTGTTGATTTAGAGCTACTTTAGTCCCCCCTTGTTCCAAGACCCCTAGTGAATACCCGAAACCACAGGTAATACCTAACCCCATTGCCATAATTCAGAACATGCTTCCGTTTGTGTC